ATTACTTAACTATTATATTATAAATGTAACTAAAACCATTTATAAATAAGTTCGTCATAACTATTTTAAATTAATAACTTTATTACAATTATAAATTGAATTAAAAAATTAAAAATTAAATACTCATTTTTACAAAAATTCATTAACCAATCTTGTTAACGATACAAAACTTTAATTATATTATAAAAAAGTATTGTATTAATATTATCTGTTTATGGATTTATCATGGCATAGGAAATGACGTTTTACAAGAATTTATCAACAATTCTGATTCAATAATAAATGTCATTGTTTCCTCTCCTATTGTGTCAAATGATATCAAAATATTATTTTCCTCTCGTCGAACGTTTCTATCGATGATGATATTGCTGTTTTGTGGATTTGTCTGCACATTAGTTGTCATATTTAAACGTCAGAGAGTACGAGAGATTCTCCAGGGCTTATACTGTGGAAACGCTGAAATGCAACTCGATGCACAGAGGTGATATATAGACGTTTTCAAATAAATATTTTATATATGGCTCTGATTTCTATCATCTTACTTTCCGGGAAATGACTCGTGTACCACGAGTACGTGTTATTAATATTTGACATAAATAGAAGAGAATATGGGTTAAGTATAAGGTTTCAATAATAGACATTGTTGGGAGAGGAATCGGAATTAGGTTTATGAGATATGTTATATTTTTAGAACAAATAAATATAAAATATATGGTTTATTAGCTGCGGTGCAACAAACTTTTTCATGATGCATTTACACTAATGTTGGTTCACATCAAAATACAAAACCAAAGCTCTCCCAAATTAATTACATATAAATCCGTATCCGCAGACCAGTAATTGATGAAATCATGATCTGTAATTAAATTATCCGAAATGATAACAGGCAATCGTAAACTACTCGGATCGAATTTCATTGAAATTATATGAAACCAAAAATTTAATTATGTAATAATCAAATAGTATAATTAAACACAGTGCATTTATCTATCGATATCGTTGCTTTTGAAATCGGAGAATCGAATGCATTATAACGGAAAGAGTGACGGAACAGCGGAAAAAGAGTGTAAAAGAGTGGCAAGGGAGAGGGCAATGGAAACGGCTAGTCGGGAGTTGTCACGCTGATTAATGGAATAAAATTCAAATCCTGGCGACTTTCAAAAGAGCGTGCTCACGCGTCGGCATAAGCGCAACGTGACGAGGGTATGTAACAGCCAACAGCCAACAGACGATTGCGATGGCGATGGCGATTGCGGAACTGCACCTACGGAAACGATAAATAACGAATAATTCGCTATTTTACACACATCATCTGATAATTCACTTTTCGATATTTTTTTTTCACGTGCATTTTTTTTTCAAAACCACGACGCAATCAATACATTAAACTAGTGGCGCATGGCATCGTACCTTAAGGCAATTTGTTGAAACTTGCTGGACGCCAATTCAAGTTTTTTTTGAAATTTTGAAATGACAAAATGACAGTTTTTTTTGGCTTTTTTTCAGCGGTTTCTAAACCTGCTTGCAAAATTTAATCAATGTGCATATACGCACACACATACTATATACACATCCACATATACACACAGACACCCATTTTTTCTAAGGCGTAAACTAGATATATCTTAATATTTGTTGAAAAATTTGAAAAAAA